TATAGAAATGATTTATAACAATATATTGGAGTTATAAGGCGCCAAATCCACTTACAATCAAATGCTCAAGGCGAAACATCATAAAACATCAATATTCTTGTACACAAATACAATATAACACAAAGAAAAGTAAAAATCTGTTCGAATTGAAGCAAATGGAAAAGAAAAGTATTAAGGTTGCTTTGAAAGATTCTACTGTGGGAATATCTCTGATCCCTCTAGGTAAACAAATACGGAGTGGTGGTTCGGCATGAGCGAAGGCCTCCCCCCCCCCCCCACTTTGTATAAAATTTTGCAAGAATAATTAATCCAGAGTTTTGAGAACGTAAAGATCTGGCAGGTGTGTATACGTAGTGATTAATCAAAGAAATATTGTGCTGTTGAGCCGCGCCATGAACACAATGAAACATAAGCAAAAGAAGTTTGAAAGCAATACGTTCTTTTATAATTAACTAATGGAGTTCCTTGAAAACCGGTGTGATGTGACTGTGTTTGTTGGAGAGGATAACAATACGAACAGTGGCATTCTACAATTTGTTGTAATTTGGCAAGCTGATTATGAGACAGGTTGAACAAGGGAGCATTTCCGAAATCAATACGAGATGAAATTAATGCATGTATAACCTTTTCTGTTCCACAGCGAGTTGAGTATTTTCTTATTAAGCACTTCTAGTTAGGAAGTAATTCTTTAGTTTGTTGTTATGTTATTTGTTATGTACATTGTCTATAAGATAGCTTTTATTTCACCATAAATTAAGTAACGCTATTAAAAACGGTATTAAAATATCCTTTGGTTTGTTTTTATGTTATTGTTATGTACATTGGCTACAAGATGGCTTTTATGTTACTATAAATTAAGTAACACTATTAAAAAGTCAATGGAAAGTGTATTGTGAGGGGAAAATAATAACTGTCCGTTGATTAATGACTATATCACTGAAATCAATCAGCTTATGATACGGTACTTTATAATCTTCCATCGAACTTTGGCCATCACTCCAATCGCTTCATTTACTAATAAATTACAACCATTAGCACGAAGAATTGTACTTCTTGGACTTCCGAAATAACTGACGCGAACCAACATTGGAGCAATCACTTAGTTCAAGCACCGTTGCCTAGGTTGTAGAGATTTCCGTATTCTTAGTCACCTCTATAGGCCTGTCATCACCAGCTCGAGATTGCCAAATATCCCGCTATTTGAATTATCCCGATCGCAAATTATCCAGTTAATTTGCGTCTTCATCATCCCGAAGTTGCAATTAGCGGGATATTTGGTCGAGATAATCATCCCAAGATATATTGGGCTAGTTTGCAAATTATCCCGCTATTTGGCAAAATATACTGCTATTTGTCCGGTGCCTTTTCACCAGCCCGAAGACTCGCACTAAGCGCGATCGCTGAGCAAAATAGCAAGTTTTGAGGTCAAGTTCCGAGCTGATAAAAAGATGCGATATGTAACTTCGCGATTATTTCCCAAATTAGAAGTAGCAAGCTATCTCGAGCTGATGAAAACATACCTTATGACGCGTGCTTAGTCTCAGATTTTAGGCAGAACGCATTAATCTTTTTGTTTCTTTCTTAACCTGACGTTGCCGAGTTGCAGATTTTCAAAGGGTCCTGAAAAAAGAGATTAATGAGTGTAGTTTGCAAAGGTGATAAATTGATCGTGGTTGACGACTAAATACGGAGACTATTTGGACCATTACATGGAAATTAATTTTGAAGGGAAAACAAATCGTTTTCTCGTGTTTGAATAATGTTTGCAGTTTTACTTTCAATTTGTTTGATTTTCTCTCTTAAAAGTTAACACCTTCAAATTGTTTATTCTTTGTCTTTATCGCCCTAAGCAAACAAACATTTTGAAGCTACTTACTTTACATCAGAAGCGTAAAGAACATTCTCGTGTATGTTATCTGTCCTGTGAAAAACGGGTTACATACACTCTAACGTATTGAAATATAACGTAATATATTTATTTGTCATCTGATACTTTGACAAACTAGTCAAAAGAATCACGTCCTCCTCAAATGTAGTCAAAATAGATTATGCGTATTTAAAAGTGATGCCTTTTAAAAATATATTTTGTTTGTATTTAGGAAAATCTTTGAAAAAACTCACTTAATTAATCATCGGAAGGTAATAAATCAAGAAATACTATTGTTGTTGTTTCTGTTACTGTTTTCTGGTTGTGATTCTTAACCTTATTTTTCACAGAAAAAAGGATACGCGACCGAAGATTTAAAGGGAATGGTTTGGTGTGGCTACCTACTTTATTCTAGACAGCTTAATATCGATTCATCATTATTAATAGCGCATCAAGTGCACTCGTTTTGAAACATTTTACATAACACATCTTAGAGGTTTTCTTGTTTTTGGATAATGGATTGATTATAAATTAGATTTAGCAAATCCCACCTGCCACATAATGGGCTGTAAATATAAAAGTGTATTGTATGACCAGGTGGGACATAACTTATCAATCAGGATCGATCATCTCGTAATGATTGTTTTACGTGATGCCTAAAGCCCATCACACATTATATGATCAGATTTAGATCCCATTTTGGGTGAATTTGCAATATCATTTGATACGAACACTCAAACATGTAACATCCTAATGACTGAGGATCTGAATAGTCATATGATTAAGAAAATCTAAATTTCAAGGGATGTTATGCTTCCTTGGAAAATAATGATAAATCGGCTCATCAACGTAGTGACGTCAGACCAGTAGTACGATTGTCTACGATTAAAAGCCGATTCGGCTGTTATTCTGACCAGAAGAGTTCAATGTACCTAAATTTCGGCTGTTCGTATTCTTTTCATTATTTAGAAGATAAATCAAGAACATTAGCTACAAACACAATAAATATATGTAGCATATTATGATTAAAATTCTTAGATTTCAAGTAGGCAGCAAGGGATGAGTGGTATTTTGGTCAACAAGTTATTTTTCATTTCCTCTTGTATGTTTTAGTGCCTTAATTGCTTTCTCCTGATTTGAATAAGAAGATGAAAGGAATTCAATTTGTCAAGAAGGCTGCAAAATATACGTAAAATATTGATCAAAAAGGCATTTTCCATTTTTATCTTGTATGCCTAAGTGGCTTTCTCCTGATTGAATTACAACAAAAAAACAGTTGTTGTGAAAGGAGATTTCTGATAAACCTATTTTCAGTCATGTCAGCTGTGACGCAAATTGATGCCAAGCAATGACTCAGTGAAAGGACAGTGGTCTCGTAACCTAAAGGTCCGGTTCGAAACCCAGTCGATGCGCAAGTGCCCTTTGGTTTTTTTTTTATTTGTTTATTTATTTAAATACGGAGACTAAAAAACATGCTTCAGGCTTGGCATAGTTGTTTTTCAGCATGTCCGCACACGGTACATTAAAATACATATGAATAAACAGATGAAATACATAATTAAACTATTACAATACATAACGTTATAGTAAATAAATGTACATCCATTGATCCCCACTACCAAGTCCCTCGGAGAGGACTTGAATCCGTCGATCCCCAAAGCACAGCAAAGTAAAACAGAATTCTGAATAGTTTCCTAAAATATGTGAATGCAAATAGGGACATGTAAATACACTGTCGCTCATATAGTTGGAATATTTTTGTTTTACCCCAATTTATGGAATTATTTAAAAAATAATTTAAAAATAATAGATCTAGATGATAGTATACATTCTCAGATTGTATTGAATAACATAATTTGCCAATGTGTGTTTTCCGTGACTGCTAAAGCATGTGTATGCTACTATGCTTATCAGCTAGGGGACCTACGCCCTTAAGTCATAATTGACAGTAATGAGGATTAATGCCCCACAAAAGGGCACTAATATAGCACATCGACACGGTTTTGATCCTGGGGCCTCACAGTTACGAGGCTATTGCTTTGTCACTGAACCATGACTGTACGCAGCGGGGGCTAGGGTAGGGGGCAGTTTCCATAAATTAAAAAAACACAGAAAATGCAATAAATTTTCAATAATTCATTGCATTTTACCCAAGTCCCCAACATAAAACAATCCTCTGTGTGCCCATGCCTTGAGCCATAATGCATGGCCATCAAGAGGAATTTTGTTATGTTGGGGACCGGGGTAAAATGCAATAAATTATTGAAAATTTATTGCATTTTCTGTTTTTTTTTTTTTTTTATTTACGGTATTGCCAATATAATGAACAAGTATAATATGACATTTAATAATCTGATACTAAGATGATTCAAAAACAAACTTTATTTTCCTAAAATTCGTAGGTTGTAAACAAGTGTCAATGGCGTACTCAGGGCATTGCATCTCAAATAACTGATATTCGAATATTGCTAATGCCGTCAAATCGAACTTGTTGTCGCGGCAGTGAAATTGTGTCCGCATATTTGCATCGAATGCCTTCCAATAAAAAAAAAAAAAGTTTATCTTTAATGACAAGCATTTATTTCACATCGGGGACAGTCCCCAAGTTCATTTTAATGGGAAGGTTTTTCCCAGTTCAACCTTAAAGTCGCCCGCAAGCGCACAAGTATGCTCGTCAAGCAGTTTTATTAAATGTAAAGTACACGACTTTATTTCTGAAAAATCAGGCGTACCTAAAGAATGGTAGTTCAGCATTATTCAGTGCGAAACACACACCTAATCGTGTACCCGATGTGTATACTACAATTCTATCTATATCTGATGAAAAAAATTCTTTCATTAAAAATGTGAATAAAAAAAATTATTGAACGTCGGAAATTAAATGGGATTTTCCTCTTCCTCTTTTATTCGTGACTTTCCATTTACTTCTGATCATCTTAATATGTAGCGTTAGCCTATAATGGGGCTAATTTCAAACTAATGGGATAGTCAAATGAACCGAGATATTGAAGCGCAGCACACTGCAAATAAATAATGCTGATTGTGGTATCATTGTAGCCACTTTCCCCGGTTGGATTTCCTGCGCATGCGCTTTAACCATCAACGCACTTTCGCGACATAGGAGAGCAGACGATACACTTTTTGCTATAAAACGCACAAAGCTTCCCGCCAATCGACCATTTCTGTCGCAACACGGTCTTAAAACACTTAACTCGCACTGGGAAGAAAGCCACAAGATACACCAAGAATTTGTTCTCCCTCATCAGTCTTCGCAGTCCATACAGGACGTATTTTATTTTAGTTTCCTTCACCTTTTGCTCCTGAAGACATCTATTCATCAAAACCTGTCCTCGCACGAAGGCATTTCTTCTCAAGCCAATCACCCCTACCCGCTCCCCGGAGAACCCACCAGTATCAGGTAAATAAATGAATTTCTCTAAAATTATGAATTACATATTGATGTTAATGACCTTTATCTTGGAAGTTAACTTGATAAACATTGGTACATTATTATTCGTTCATTTGTCTTAAGTATTCTATTCTTACCCTGATTGCAAATATTTAATGCTTTATTTCGTTATAGATTGTTTACCACAATATGTTTACCAACACCTTTAGTCAGTAGGCAATTTGTTAAAATGTCATATTCAATGACCATATTGTATACCGAATTGTATTTTCTTCCCCAAATTATGTTTCTTTCTCTTTCTTGAAATGTTCTTGCTTTCTTTTCTTTCTTTTTTTGGAGGGGGATCTATGGTGGCTTTCCCGATGATTCCACAATTTTCTTAGAATCTCTCTGAGAATTTTATTTGTAAGGTCGATCACACTGCTATTCATTTTGTTCATGATCTCGTTATAATTGAAATATTCATTGTTTGTGTGGTAATTAGTTTGCGTAGGATTTGGTTGGTACCGCCTTACCTTGGTTTAAATTGTTTGAATTTCTCATTTCAATTCGAGTTCATTTAGATATTGTTACGTCTTATATGCCTGTTGGACTATAACCAACTATAGTAGATCCACTTTCGTATTTGTTTCGAACGCGCGTGCCGTTACGAGGCCTGTCGGTATTAGCCGAATGATTGCGCATTTAGTAATAAGCCTGGAATTTCAGCGTCACCCTCGTTTTTGTTTACAATTGAATGGACAAAAATAGATAGATAACTGAAGAATAAATAAACGTGCTGACACATCTTTTCATTGTTAAAGTTAGAATATCAATCTTAATAGAAATTTACAACGCTGTAATGTGAAATTAAGGTAACAGTGAGATACCAATTATGTTTGTCGTCGAGTTCGATATTCCCGTCAAGGATATGTAGTCGTACAGTCTCGAGACGGGTGTAGCTATAGAGGGGCATGGGGACACGTGCCCCCCACCTTAAATTGAGAAGTGACCAAACTATTTTTATTTTTAAGCGAGAAAAGTGAAAAGGGACAGGGAAATGGTGGAAAGGAAGAGAAAAGAAGATTATTGGGCCACATCCCGCGTCCCCCTTGTATGTAGCCCAATACATTTTCGAGATATACCGCCCCCCCCCCCTCGCTCCAGTGCCCCTTTAATGGGTCACCTCACGCCACGCCACTGAATCTCTATCACATCCAATATCTGTTCTCATCTACAGTATAGATCGAAATAACCAGTCACGTCGACTTCAATCAATCTTTTTCTTTGTTTTATGATCATCAAAGAAACACATTTTTGGTATTAAAACAAGTCTCTTTGTGAAGAACGAAAATGGTAAAAGTTGTTTGCGAGGTCTAATTTGAAATACTTACGATTTTTGATGACCAGTTACCATCATTACATATTACAGCATTATTTCTTTTAAATTTAATATTCCAACTTTTACCAGTATAATATGTGTTATCGTATTTATTTATTCCTCGCTTATTTATTATCTTTTCAAAAAAATTGTATTCATATTTGTCTGTCTTTCTTTCTTTCTTTATTTCTTTACTTGGAAATTTTCTTTGGAAAAGTTATCTGTCATTTGATTGAATATGCACCTTAATTTTCGTATAAGGCGATCACATTAAGCATTTCATAGTATCATAAAGGTTAGGCACTTCATTCAAATGGACAGATTGGGGACGTTAGGTATTGAATATTGATTAAATGATTATTCGAGTAATGTGCCAATCGCTTTGAACTATATTGAGAAAAAAAACTCATTAAATTCGTATTGGCTGGGGTATGAGTAATGTTTTGATTGGTGCCAGTTTCCGCCCTCTAATGAAATATAGGGAGACATCTTAGCATCAGCCTTCTTTACTGATTGCAAGAGACACGGTTGTTATTATTATATCGCTTTATTAACCCCTTCCGTTTAAGTTTTCGAATACTGGAGTTACGAAGGCCACGGGAAGCATACTCAATACAATGTAAGGGAAGGCAAGTTTAACGGGTTCATATCGTCAGTATGGGTGTGGGAAGGAGGAACGCTACTGAATTATCCACCCACACACACACACGCTCACCCACTCCCACACATACACACGCACAGAATGCACTCTTACTAAAAACAAGTAAAGATTAATAGCAATCGTGAGTTTATGTGCGGTCACATGAAGGAAGGAATTGCTTGTACAAACATTCTGTCCGATTTTTAGGTGAAGAATCATTAGTATTTGAATGATAAGGCACTAAATTGGACAGCAAATAACTTCTAATCAATAAGTTTCGAATAAACACAATAATTTCTTGATGTCCGCAAACTTTAACTTGCATTATGAAAAGTGTAGACGAAGTGAAAAGAAAAAACTCGGAATGGGGGCTAGGGCGTTTTATATATCCCATCTAGCCCTTTTAGCCCTTTTTTCATAATTTCATATTTTATAGTTATCACTTTTCTAACAAATAAATATCTAGTTCAACAAATATTTATGCTCATTAATACATGTGCACCATTAATGGATACAATTCTATGTTTTCTATATTTGTATACAGATTCATATATTTTTTTTTTTTTTTTCTCCATTCCAATGTATAAGGATAATTAAATTAGATTTATTTGCTCGTTTTCACCTACATCAAAAACCACCTGGAACATAGCGCATAAGTAATGGTCTAAAGATGAGCATTATTACAAATGATGGATTTTTATGAATTTAAACTTTTAGTTATAATAATCACCTGGTTACGATAGTTCCTCTCATGATTTTGTTTTCGTTTTCTTCGCAGGGATCATAAAATAACATGAATCGTGTTTTCTGACTTCAAATAAATCTCACCCTATGGCAAGCGATTTCAACCGTGAACGTAATTAAAAGAGAATTAGAAACAAATCAAGCATGATATGAAAACATGAAGTTTTTAATTTGATATGCATGGGAATTAAAGCGGCGTAGATTTAACTTCTACTCTTAAAAGGTTCATCACTGAATTTAAGAGGTGTTTGTAATGTACGTTGTACACAAATAAACATATGCTTCCAAATAGATGGAAATCCGGTTTGATATGAAAGTTTTTTTTTTTTTTTAATGCCATTCGTTTAGAAAAAGCATGATAATTAGGTTGCCTAATCGATTTCATATCTCTGTACAAGGTAATACAAACGATATTTTTTGTCTTTGTATGTCTGCTTCAGATTGGAGGAATATGCTTGCCAATCCACACGATGTACCCTCCCCCCCCCCCTCAAGATTCAGACATCGTTCCACGCAACCACCAAAAGAACAAGTTTGCCGACCTCTCATTGAAACGCATCTATTAAGATTAACACGAGTCTCAATGGGCTCTTGGCGAACTTGTACTTATGACAGTTTTGTGAAACCTTGCCCAGTTCTACGACACAGGCACCTGCGACAATTTCTCCTGAGTCACTTGACTAAACAAAGTTCCAATCCCCCCCCCCCCCCCCTGCGCCCACCACGATACCTATTAACCACATCGTTAACCATAAACCTAACACCAAATCCCTATCGCAATCTTTATTCTTACCCTTCTCCTATTTGTTGATGAACTAAACCTAGAAGCAATTGTCGTCACCATGGTCGTAGATAATTTACAGCGGATCACTGTATAGACCTGTTATGGCGGATCTTGTACGTCCACTGGGGCTTGTCGAGGTCACAACCAGGTGACGGGATGATAGGCTTTCGACCAATGGCTTTGTTGGTGTAACAATTTCAAGATTCCCTGGATATTCCAGAAATGGGACAAATACTATGTCTGTGGAACTTTTGGTGGATTCGCCTGTGGCAGGTTCGTCAGGTTTTCGAGGTCTCAGGAGATACCAAGGTCAGGATGTCTTTGCTACCTTCAAGTTACCGCGGGGTCATTGCCTTATGCCACTGCTCAGCTGGGGAAGGGATTTCCCTCCTAACCGAAGACAAGGAGTAGGATTTCTGACGTTGCAACGGAGGAGGGTCACATGGGCACGTACCCCCCCCCCCGTCCAATTGAATGGGGGCATTGAGAGAGAAAGGGAGATTTTAAAAAGAATTTACTTAGTGAAGCCTCATCAGCATCAATGCTGTTCTTCTTGAGGGCCTTGCAATTAGTATTACCCCAGCAGTTGACTGGTACCGAATTACACCTGGGTGGAGAGTGGCAAATGTAGATTAATGTCTTGCCAAAGGTTATTAGTGCTGGGCTGGTATTCGAACCCTGAACCCTAGGATTGAGAGTCTAGTAAATTGACCACTCTACCACAACACTAAACGAGACACGGAAAAAAAGGTGCTTAACGAAAAACAACGATGATCTTTGGCCCCCTTTCTGCACCTTTCCTATAGTCGGCTGCACTGTATATTTGCATTACATAGACCGTATATTACCCCCCCCCCCCCGTCTTCAAGTCAGTGCCCCCTCCCCAATAGTTCGACTCACGCTACGGCATCGATTTGGGCTTTAGAGTAACACTTGTTGTCTGCAAAGATGAGTTGAATAAAGTGATCTCAGTTTGACAAGGTGTCTCTAAACCCTAGGAGCAATACTGCCTACTCTGCTTTCAGTAGAACAAAAGGGTATTTGAACGCTATACCTATTACATGTCACTAGGGCCCGTGGGAAACTTTGACAACGCAGTCTTTAATTATTTAATACTTTCAGAGAATGATATACGTTATTGTATTTCACTTTCCTTGAATTTATGCTCGGATGTTACTTTACAACAGATCATTTTCATGTTGCTGATTCTAATGCCCACGCGACTGATTGACGATGTGCAAGAAAAACATTTTATCACATGATTTGCTTTTTTTCGAGAATGTTTTTACTTCTTGTGCTTGTCTCTAGGGCGTGTTCATCATTTTCGTGCTATTATTCATGTATGATGCACCTCCGGGCCATACCTTCACTCATTGGAGGAGTGGCGCCTGAATATTACGGGGAGGGGCACTTGCGTCACCTTGAATATCCCTACAACCCTGAAATGGGAAACATTTCCACATTTTCAGAATTCAGAAAAA